GAATTATTATGTATTATGGCTCCAATGGGCTTCAATGCAATGGGGGCGGGGCTAATATTAATGACAAAATCCCCTTCATCACTTCAGACTGTATAAGAATAGAGAACTGATTGTCAATGAACTGGTGAGGCTAGCTTTTTTATGATTAATGAAGATGTTTTTAACTGTCTTGTTCTTTACTGACCTGAAGTAATGAAACAGATCTCATATAGAGACCAGTAGTCCAAACAGTGATTCTATTATCCCTCAAGACAGCCATCCAATCTTGGACCGCCTGAGATGATGTAGAGGCTCAATCGATCGCAGCCCCCCTGCTGAGCCCTGAGTGGCACCCTCTTTCATGGAGGTATAAACCCGCTGGCACAAGGTTAATCTGGCTAAGGCAGGGCCGCTTTGAACACCGGTTTGCCCCTGAATCCACCATGGGGAGTAGAGTCCTCTGAGATCCCTCAGATACTGTGAGCTGCGGGTTTAAGCGCAGGAGAAATGGGTTGGTGGACCTACTTTCTTTGAGTTCAGATCTATTGTACAAAGTGAATTTTCAGACTGTCTTTTTAAAATCTTCCATACTTTTAATATCATTTGGTTGTGTCTAATCTTACAGATCTGTGCTGACTCAGTAGGTCGGACTTTGAACAACCCCAAAGTTTCCAATACATTTTATTGATAAATATCAATAAAACTGGGTATGGGTTAGGGGTTAGGGGTATCAATAAACTGATTATGTTTCCTTAAGAACTCTAATCAGTACAATGAAAATGTAATTAAATGCTCTTGTTTCTCCAAATGTGGATAAAAATTGTTTTCCTACTTTATTACATTTATCTGACCAGTAAACTTCAGATTAAGATTCTTAATACAAAACATCAGATTGATCAACAAAATGTGCCGTTTACTACAGATTAAATCACCAAACTGTATTTGAAATATAAATTAGCTCCATCTTTGCAACGGCACCACTTACTACTGTATATTCATATATTCAAAATAATGCTCAATAATAACATTGACGGGGGAAGTTTCATAGTGAGTGCTATGTTGATACTTTAAGTATAAAGGGGTGATGTATAATTTGGCTACTTTCTTCACCAAAAAAAGCAGAAAAAAAGGTTCAAATAGGTGTACAGTGACTTAGTTTCACTTCTTACTTCATTTACTACTTCTACAGAAAAAAATAGATTCATTTATTCCTGCAGTTGTCAAACGAACAACAGTACCATGGTCCACATCCAGCTGATTAACTTATAGTTTTTTCTTTTAATTTGACTCTTGTACAAACTTTTACAAACTGTCAGAGTAATGCTTTTTTTTTTTAACTGTGTACCACACAATCAAACACTAAGTGATACAACAAACAAAATCACAGAACAGGAAGGAAAAGTCTAATCATTAGGCTACTCATTTCACAGGAACTTTTCATGAAGTTAAGAAAAACTGCATTTATATTTCCATATAAATAGAACAAAAATCAATGTCTTTATATGTCTCTGTTTACATCACTGATTATTATTATGTACAGAGTCATTTAGCCTGTGGATTCAGGCTGTAATGTGTTGTTACAACCATTGGGTAGCGCTGTGGAGCTCTTTATTTCCTGATAGAAAGAGCCTGGCTATTCTATGATGTCATCCTCAGTCAAGTTATCATATGACACACACCCAGTTTGTACAGAGACGAGCACACACACCTACAGAATTATTGGATGTGAGCTCTAATTATTAAAATAACATCTCACTGTTCTTTTGTGGAACCGAGGAGTCGACTGTAGCAACAAGAAGTCAGTGAGAAACAGGAAGGTGGTGGGAGAGTTAGCCCTCAGTGTTTTGATTGCTGTGAGACTGAGGGAACAGGGGCCCACCCAAGGGAGATGGGAGCTGTGGGTGAAAGAGGAGGAGGAGGGAAAAATGGTGAGAGGTGGACAGAGAAAAGGCTGAGAGTGAGGACGAAGAGAGCGCAGAGAGGACAGCGCAGGCAGAAAACACTCCTCTGCCCCTCCTCGTAACCCCCCCCCACCCAACCCGCTGTGAAATCAAATTTACCGACTCACTCTGAAGTCGTCAGCTTATCTGGAACACTAACAATCACAAAAGACACCAGCAGCGTGGTGGGAAGAATCAGGGGCCCTTATAGTTGAGCAATCTTTCCAAGAAGAAACAGCCCCCCTTTTAAGCCCATAACTGCTAGACAATGACGGTGCAGATGTTTGCAGACACATATGCAATCTGCTTAATGATGAGTCAGTGGTTAGTCAGTGATGGGATTCTGTATCTGAGCCAGTTAAATGCCTTCAGACTTGACAATGACACAGGATTTACGCCGCTGTGCACGCTCAAACGTAACTTTTACCAGCTGTGCCATTCCGGGGGTAATTTTGTGAATACAAGTTAAAGATGATCTCAACTACAGACTTTCTGGTTTCCCCCATTACACATTGGAAAAAAGATTGACCTCATGGTTGACTATGATCACATCAAAGTATTTAATGCTGGATTACGTTTGATTAATACAACATCTGTACTTTAAAAGTAATAGCCCAGATAGGATACACGTTTTGATAAAGTCAAAAATACTTGTTTACACTTATCAGACAGGAAGTAGTGCTCAAAGTGCACAAAGATGTGAGGATTAAGAATGTTATTTCTGTAACTGAGATGTGATCACACTGGTTATCTTTTGATTTTTCACATAGTGCCATTTTTTTTTTACCTACTGCAATTGCACTTTATAACGACTCCCCTTTAAGTAAGGACAGAAGACATTTAAACTTTTAAACTTTAGCCTGAGTGGCATATATCATATATCAAACTGTATTGTGGGCTCATGTCTTTTTGAATGGGTGGGATATGTTTGTATATATGTGTTGTGTTGTGTGTTTGTATGTATGCTGGCTGCTGGAACACCTACATTTCCCTGCTGGGATGAGTAAAGTATATCTTATCTTTATCTTATCTTATTATCTTATCATGTTGCCAGAATAAATCTTGTCGCCCTAATTTTGGTTAGTGGCAAAATACCTGCAAAACCAATGACATCCCACAATCCAGTTTCACTCTGTGTTTGTTGCCTATAAGCATGATAATAGCGTGTTACATTCTGGACTCAGCTGTTGTAAATGTTAAACATTTAATCAGCTGCAACGTTCTGACACTTCCGCTCCGACCCGAAAGTTTGTGCGCCTTAGCGAGCCTCTAGCATTGTTCTGACACGTCTCTTTATTTCTGTGACAGTTGGGAAAGTTTAACCACCCCCCCCAACGGCCTCTAAAAATGATCAGAATAAACAATTAAGTAGAAGGAGGGGTTGGGGGGGGGGGGGGGGGGTCACATAAAAATGGATCAGGCACTGCTTGTAAGAGAAATGCATGACAACATACCAGCAGGGTCGACTTTTACAGTCAGGAGTGGTCAATGTTTTACAGCAATGAACCAAGCAAAACAGTTGACACGGCAAATAAAATACAGACTCAGATGTCCGAGAAATGCACAAATCCTAAGGAGAGAAAAAAAAAGAACTTTCATCTTGTTGTCTTATTGTAGTTTGGACCAGTCATTGCAGATTTTGTTCGCAATGAGCATGTTTTGTTTGCTGCAGCTGAAGGGGGATGTAAAAGATGGACAGAAACACCTCTCTAATGGACTTGTCAAAGGGAGTAACACCATTACTGAGTGTTGCCAGTATGCATGTATGCACCCAGATGAATATGTCCCCTTGCCCACACGAATGCACACACAAGGACTTTTATCCCCCTCTTTACACGGCTCTGACACCCTCTGTGTAACCCCCTCCAGGCATGGACGAGTGTGTGTCATGTGAGAAGCTGGTGTGTGCCACCCGGTGTGACTGAGCAGACAGGAGAGAGTGGAGATGTGGAGAGAAACTAAATTGGCTTTGGCCTCTGTCTCAGGAGTAGCCAGCCCCTGGGTTAGGAGGGCTATTCTTATAGAGGGCAGAAAGAGGTCTCCCGCTCCCCTGGTACACAAACCACTTTATAGGATCCCACATCATGTTTTGACGGCCTCCTGGGAATGTGGGGGAGGTGTTATCCAATGACAAGTGTGAGAGTGGAAGAGGAAATGGAGCTTTAAACAGGCCTTTGTTGGTTAAAGGCACTTTCTGAATGCAGTGAAAACGTCAAAATCTAGTCTCCATTCTCTTAAAACAGAGACCACAGAAAGCTGACAAAAGAGAAGCCCCCCCCCCCTTTAATTGGGTAATAAGATTGAATGAAAATTGTTTCTTCAGTCTATTAGATTTAATAAGCTTTTACTTCGTTTTTGTTTTCCACTCTCCTTTTTGATGCTTTATTTAGAGGTGCCATTTCCACAAATGTCAAGGACAGAAGAGTATTCACATTTTATGTAACGTTAATGGAGCTTTCAGGGTGAGAGCGCACCAAGACCCGAGTGCGCGAGGCTTTGAAGTCAATTTAATTTAGTGGCCAAACCATTTCATCACAATTTACGGCCCACGACACGTGATGGAAAGTGTTTTGTTTAAATAGTATCCACACTAATGACAAATGTGCTCATGAGAGGCGCAGGTCGAAAACATGGCTGTTTTATGGAGAATTGTGGCAGCTCAATGCGATGTGACACTTGGATTTCCCCAACTGATTGGAGGTTAAGAGAAAAGGGTTTAACTTCGTGACATAATTACTCTTGACTCTGAATTGTTTTTCTGTTTTTTCATGATTAATGCTGAGCGTCCTTTTTGGAGCTCAAAAAGATGTGCTTGATATGTTTAAAATAAAAGAACCTAAAGGACACATGCACAATATTAACAGGCATTCAGAAGCAAGTAAAGGTACGCAACCAACTTCAACCAACAAACTGGACAAAGGCCCTTTGAGCCATGGTTTGGTCAGTCTATTTGTGGTAACTTTAGCATCACGTACAAATATGGAGGAGGATCCACACCTTGGGTATGCAGTAGATAAGTGCTCACTCCTCCTTCAAGCACAACAACAGCTACGTTCATAAAGAAGTCACAATGACAGCATGGTTGATGTCAATCTTTAATGGCAGATGGCCTGAAATGTCTTCATTTAACATTTTCATAAAAACTTCTAATTTTGATCACTTTTTTTTTGGTTTCAAACAAACAAACCTCTGCAATTCACTGAAATACAGTTTCTCCTCACAGTGGTTAAAGTACATAAATATCAACAGTACTTTATGCATTAAGAAAAAAAGAAAGAAAAGAACACACATGCTGTGAACATGCACAGAACACACAGGTACGCACATGATATACTGAAACAGGGAAGGAAGTCTTCTCACTGAGCGAAGGGAGGGATCATCATATTAACTTTTCCAGAAACGTCTGTACCGTACTGCTGGCGACACACAAAAAGATCCATTTGTTCAAAGAGCGTGTTTTTCTCTGGATTTCACAGTGAATTATGTAGGTAAAACATGTTTCATATATCAGATACAAACACATAAAGGAGCTCTAGAAAATTACCAAAGGAATATACAATTAAACTTACAATAATACTTACAATGAATTATATAATGGGCATCTTCTATTAACTTTAAAAACATAGTACCCATAAAAACACACACGCACACACACACACACCTTATAAATACTTGTTCTAATAAATTTGGTGCCACACTTGGCTTTCAAAAAATGTCTGTAAAAGCAAAAACTGCTTCAGAAAAATCAATTGCTATTATGTGCATATAATTCATATTAATCATTACAAACACTGAATATATGATTCAACCGCTCCACCATGATTGTACACACCTGGGCTAGAGATTACACAAAGAATTGTTTTTATAGCAGTGATTCAGTTTTTGATTGTCACATCACCGTTGAAATGTGACTTAGCCTCATCAGAAAAAGTACAAGAATCACTCTTTGTTTTCGTGACAATGAGACATGAATGAGAAGTTTTGGCGTCAAAATGTCACAGAAATATGATCACTCCATGATATGTCAAACAGCGAAAACGTTATTGCAGGCCCAGAGGACGCAAGATTACAAAAGATGATTTCTTTTTTTTTTCTTTTTGATCGTTCCAATCATTGTTATGCAAATTCAAAATTTTACAAAAAGCAGGTTGGCTCCCTAAAAATAGACAGAAGAGACAAATTGCTTTAAGTGAATCTCCTTTCAGATGCAGAGTGGCTCTTTGGAGTGACACCAAAAGAGACGTGCGGCAAAAAAATAATGTCATACTTCATAAGAAATCAGATTGAGGAGTACAAAGCAGTCAAAAACAGAATAATTCCACTAGCCTAGATAGCTCTCCAGTGTAAAAAAAAAAATGCCTTTGGTCTTTTGTTTCTCTATACTGCTGTCCTCTTGCTGAACAATGAAGAGGCAGATTCCTTATTATAGCAGGGCTCAGGTTGCTGTGTTTTGCAGTCTCCACGGTCACTCTACCTTCACTTGTGATGGCTTATTCCCCGTCAATGCCTCTTTCTTTTCTTTTCTTTTTTTTAAACCCAACTGATTATCTGAAAACTGAAAAAATTAGGAGCTGGATCAGGTGACAATTTGCGCATCCCACAAAGGACTTAATGTTGGCTTCTTCAGGGAAGGACGCCGCACAAAGACACAAAGTATGTAGTAAAGACAAGAAAAAAAACGCAACAGGTCTGCTTTGGTATAGCAGGGGAAACTTTCCATTCTACAATGGCACGAAGAAAGAATAAAACATATGAAAGTTTCTCACACAACATGAACCAATCAAACGTTTCAAACATTGTCTTGATTACAAAAATACTTTTTGTATTTCTTTAAAATATCTAAAAATGTACAACATTGTTTTTTTTTCATCTTTTTTTTTTGCAAAGTCATGCTTCAACATGTATTTAATAATCATAATAACATTAATATGAATGATATACAGAATAGGAATAATTATAGTTATATAATAACATTACCCAGCAGCGCTTTGGCGACACTTCCAGAAATCTGGTCCTGCATGAATCGTCATCACACTTACATACACAGAATGCACAGCAAGAGGCCTGCTACCGTTGGCCAGGGGATGCAGTCACAAAGGGTGTGTGCGCCTTTGGTACCTTTAAGGTGTCAGAGGAGGTGTGGCCAAAGCGCTGCAGGAAAATCTGGAGTATGTAACAGTATAAAAAGAGTTGGAGGGACTTTTTGGGGGGGGGGGTAGGAGGTGCTCGATGTGTGATGGAGGCTGGGGTCTGGTATGTCCTGAGGCCCATGAGGCTGCTGCTGCCTGAGAGGGTGAGACAGGAGAAGAAGAAAAAAGGGGATGAGGTTGATGTGGTCACTGCACACAAACCATGTACACTAATAAAAAACACAGGGGAGCGTGTGGAACTTTTGCACGACTCAAATAGTCACACAACCACGAGAATCATAAACCGGTAGATTCTCACACACAGTTATACACACAAAACATGTTTCTTGTTTTCTCCTCAAATTCTCGCAGTGATGCCAAAACCACACACACACTTTTATCCCAAAAAGATGTGGTACCAGATTTATTTTCAAAGCGGTTTTGAAGCAAAAGGCTATAAGATACACAGGTGAGAGCTGACAATATGTGTTAAGTCAAAAAAAAAGGCTTGTTTTCACCAATCTTCTCTTAAAAGTAGACATAGTGCCAGAAGAGAGAGTGACAGCTCTCTGGTGGCGAGGTGAGATTTACACCTTTTGTCCTCGCCTGTTGGGATCAATGGCCTTCAAGTCCCCGAGCCCTTAACTCACCGACGGTATGCTGCTCTGAGAGCCAGAGTCAGCTCCGTCCTCCTGATTTCTAATTGGACATGAGAGGCAATCAGCAAACGCCCATCACAGCCGGCCACGGCCACCATCACACATCAGGAACCTGCAACACAAAGGAGACAGATTTAGTGAAGAGAACGAGCAGCAACAGCGTCCAGACTGCTCGTGAAGAGTGTTTCGTGCTGATTGATCTTTACAGCCACAGTTTGTGGTTCTGTTATAATAAATCAAATCACATTTCCGTTATGATGTCGATTTGAGTGTTATGTGAGTTTTTAAATGTGGTCTCCTAACCCATGTCAATATTGTTGAAGTGATTTCTCTAAAACATCTTCTCACATTCAACAAAGCTTTTCCCGAGCAGTAACAGACCTTACAAAAACTGATTCTTCATGATGTGTAGCACATGCTCGGACCAGTCATGACATGTCAAATCTGCTTACTATCCCCTCACAATCCACTTTGCCATCTTTTTCCAAAATCTTTCAAAATCAAACCCCAGCTGCTACACAAAGGATGTCAGCCAACAATAGTCTTAAATACTTCCCAAACAACCATATCTCCCAAGATCCCTCACCACTTCAACTCTTCCCCCCACCCCACCCCCACAAGCAGCAACAGACCAAAGAGAAAGGTCAAGCCTTTGGACCCCTCACCCAAATCCAGATGTATCACTAAAAATAGACATCTCAAGGAGGCCGTGGTAACTGGGGTTGGGAGGGGCAAAGGAAGGGGGAGGTGGTGGGGGCTGGGGGTAGAACTCTTTGGAACAATAAACAATTAGAAAACCAAACATAACCTTAAGAGAGGAGGAGAGAAACAGACCGTTTCAGGCGAAGAAGGAAGACGGTTTGGGAACAGTTCGGAAAAGTGTTTTTTTTTTTTTTTTAAGGGGCACGGCTGGCCTAGCTAATGCACTGTTGCGCGCTCAATCAGGGGTGAGGGAATCGATGCGATACTCAGCCGCTCGGCTAAGCTGATGCGACGCATACTTCCAGACCTCCCTATTTGTTCTGGCTGAGACACCAAGGTTAAAGATTGGGTTGATCATTGAACATGTCTGTGTGGATTAGGAAAAAGGTTTAGTGATCTGCTGGCTTAATGTGTTACAGCCAATAACCGGGCCAGGCGCATGATGTGAGATAGGTAAACAAGTAGTGTTTGAGAATGTGGGAGCTGACTCGCTTTCTCATGAATGTGTGCTTTATTTCCATGCAGAAAATGTTCCTGTGTGTGCGCGTGTTATCAGTGATCATTGATCTCGTGCTGCAAATGAAGAGAGAAGTCGCTGGTTTGCTTTGGCCTTCACTGTTCCATTGCCAAACCCTGTAGGCACGTTTAAGAAAGACAATATGTGCTTCCTCTCCCATTCTAGGCGTCATCAGTTTGCCATTCATAGGATTTTCCAAACAATTGCAGACTCCAGAGGTGAAAAACATCTGAGCTAATTCTTCTCAACTAGTCAGCCAGTTACCAGATTTGATGTCTCGCTGGATAATTTTTAACCAACAAGTCCACAGTCAAAAACGGCAAATGATCTTAATTAAGAAAAGTGTTATTTTAAAGTTTAGTTATTATAGTGAAGAGCAGTTTTTCTTGTCTCGTTCTCTTTGGGGAAATGATGGTTGATGGGTAATGCACTAAAGGTAAATAGAAGAACTCAGGAAACCAACAGTGCACCCTACGGCACACATGATAACTAATGATATCAACATACACAGCATTCCTTTGATGTTCTACAGCAGTGGTACTTGTATACATGCATATTTCAAATGTTTGATAAAAGAAGAGGATTTATAATATTGTCATTTTCTAGACTCAGATATTGGAACTCTTTCATATATTCAGTTTCAGCAGTGACACGGTCAAAATTTCATTACACATGAAAGGCAATGCAGTGTAGGTCCTGCAGCCGCTCCAAATCAAATCAAAGTGCACTTTAACGACCGTGCAATCAATCCAAGGCTGACTAAAACGAATGCAGAGTCATTCATCATGTTAGATTCCCTTACTTAGGTGTCATGTGTCTTTTCTTTTCATGCGACGAGAAGGATAATGTTAACCAATCACTCTTTGGAACTGGAGGAAGAATACATCAGAAATAAAGCTGTATATAATATGTTCAAACAATGATCGCTGAAAGTGTTGCATAGCTTCGATGTGTAAATCCAGCGCTCAAATCGGCAATCAAATTTTTTATATTCCTTTAAGATGTCTACCTGTGCAGGCCTGGCCGCGAAACAGCAGCCTGTCTGAAGCCCCTTTAATCTGCAGAAAAGCCTTTAGGCCCCGGCTGTGTTTCTCACATACCAGCGTTGGCTGCTGGAGCTGGGTGGTGATGAACACAGCTGCTGACATGTATCCAAGCTCCTGAGACCCTGTGCAGGGACAAGGCAGCCATACTGTATGTGTGTGTGTGTGTGTGTGTGTGTGTGTGTGTGTGTGTGTGTGTGTGTGTGTGTGTGTGTGTGTGTGTGTGTCATGTGTCAGTAGGGGGCAAAGGACCAAAGTCCTACTTCCTTATTAGAAGGCACCCCAGCTGGCCCTCAGCTCTCCAGTGGGACTTAGTCCAACATTGCACAGGAACCAATGGTTTTGTCGGGCTATTGGGTAAAAAAAAAGCTCCTCAGGGCAGGAAGCCAGACTCACACACACACACACACACACACACACAGGTTCTCTCACACACAAGCATGCATCACACACTATAGTCCCCCGCCATGTCTTGTCAGATGGAAAATCCGGATTACCTTTCCGTGCAGTTCAGTAGGCAATGGCATTAATGTCCACTATTAGGTTGTCTTTGGATGGAGCTCTGTGCCCGAGCATGAATGTCAAATATAATTCACCTGCACTGACATTCAGATGGAGAGGTAGTCTCTGAGCTTCTAAGGGGACTACAAGAACAAAAACGTACAGTGTAACATGTTTTTAAAGAGCCAAAACGGGGACCCTTCCTGTTTCAACTGGCATGAAGTGACACTGCTGTACATTTGGTTTTCAGAATGGTTCAAGGTTTACAAGTTGGCACTTCTCTTGATGGACAGAATTCCAGGTGGTTTCAAACAACTCATACTAACCATGATTAAAGAGCCCTGAACGCTACTTCACATTCACAAGTATCCCACAGTTACACTTCCTTAAGCAATGCTGCCACAACCACTGACCGACCACAAAGCCCCTCAGGACCGCAGGCGCGAGAGCCTCCTTGAATTCCCCTTGTGAACGTTCACTGTCATCAGACACCTTCAACATGAGTAACAATTCACAAATGCTCCAAATGAACTCAATCACACCAACAGCAAACCGACTGTACCGATTGTACAATACTAGTGCAACTCAGACAGCCTCTCTGCAACCTCTGTTTCATGTTTATTCTTGCTTTCTTGTAGCTAAATTTGTTTCAAAGTGTTTCACAAGCTCTGCGCTTAACAGATTGCACTGCACAAATAAGTCACACCCTCGTCTCAGCCAGCATCAAGACATTTAGTAACAGTCTTTCTGACTTCAAACTGTATCCACTGAACAAACAATCAGGGCCAAGAGACACAAGGTCTGCTACAGCTGTGAAATGTCAGGGACAAAACAAAGCAGCACGGCTCACTCAACTTTGACTTTTTACTTTCTCTGGAGATTTTTTTTTTTACTTAGGTCACGAGACAGATGTTTTAAAGAGGGGAATTACTAGATTGCACAAGGTAACCATGGGAGATTTGCTTCACAGTGCCTCTAAGCTCATCCACGATAACACTGAAGAGTGTTGAAGAGTCATGTCTATCAAATAACCAGGTGGATGGATATCAGAAAATGTAGTCAGTTTGTCTTAAAGGGTCAGTGAACTTGAATACCACACCGTTCTCCCTTCTTTTGTCACATTAATTATCAAATGAAACTTTGTTGCAGGGCCATCGTGGGAACTTTTTTCTTGTAGTTTTTTGTTTGTTTAGACAAGACTTAGCCAAGTTCTACATTTTTGGTTTTGCCTTTTGGCTGCTGCCATCTTTTTGTTTTTTTCCATAAACAGAACTGACCTTACCTTACCTTAACCAGATAAGAGCTTTGATAATTAGTATGTAATGTTCATTGAATCAAATTTGTTGGGGTAAGATCTAGCAGCTGAGTGCAGCACCAACGTGTCACTCAAAACTTCCTAGTCTTAAAACTTGGTTTTACCGTTTTTAGCACTTCAGCGGGGGGGTTTATTTTTTAAGCTTGGCGTTATCTCATTTTTTGGGAATATACAATTTTTTCAGAGACTTGAAAAGCTTCACAATGTAGTATAAGAAATATGCCTCTATGTGCGTTGCGTGTGTTTGTACCATACATTGTTTGATAATGTCTATTTTTCCATTTTGTCATGTAGGCAGGCTTTGAATTATTTTTTTCAGTTGAATGGAATTTGTTCCTGTTGAAAGCTTAAGGTATGTGTTTTAAATTTCATCAACATTAACTCCTTTTACTGGGAAAAAAATGCCCCAGTACCTCTATAACAACCACATTTTTTTATTTATTTTTAAGGACTTCCAAAGAAAATTGCCCACCTGTGATGTTCCAAGAGCCAGCTGCTAACTCATTCAATTCTAATTTCTCAATACTATGACAACTATAAAACCATGTCTTTGACATTTGTGGTACAGCTACATGTCAGGCCTGATGATTGAGCATGTCGGGTCAACACTACATAGTTTAAGTGCATTGCAAACATGTAAATCTGCTGCAGAGGCCTGTTTCTTCTCACAGTATTCTGACTGGATGTCTCAGCTTCACTGCATCCTCTACTGCAAACCGGATGTGGGGATGTTGATGTTTCATTGAGGGGCTAATGTCCACTGGGGCAGCCTGACCTTTTAAATTACTTCCTCCTGGTCTGATAGAGAAGTAATTATTTCCTAAAGGCCCCCCCCCCATCCCCCAACAGAGATGAAATCCCCCAAATTACTCCTACTTCTTCCCATGCAGTACGTTTCATTTCCTGTAAATACACAAATCAGCTAGGACAAAGGGTTACAAAGGGATAGTTAAGGACTAGCACCAATCAACAGCTTGATGAATGTTAGCCTCCATGCTAACATCACTACCAATCCACTCCCCACTGGCTCCCAGAGGGGTCGGGAGGACATGTTTCTTCCTGTCCTGAGACGTTAGAGGGAGGGTACTGGTGACAGAGTGACTGGCGCCGAGTGCAAACACACATAAGCACACACACAAACACACCCGCGCGCGCACACACACACACACACACACACACACACACACACACACACACACACACACACACACACGAATGCACCCAGACACAGTCAGCAAACACAGATACAGGGACTAGCAGAGGATTTGTTGTGCTTTGTGGTTTGGTTTTTCTGCAAGCACAACAGTGTTTAGTTTGTCTTAAAAAAGGCGAGGCACATGTGCCGTGAAGCTGATGCTTGGTTACAGTCAACTCATGAATTGATCAAAGCACTTATTTGAAACCAGCTGCTCCGTGTACTGTCCGCAGCTCCACTTTAACTAATACACCTGTAATTTATTTTAAATAGAGCTCCATGCTAATCATTCTTCATAAAGATTCATAAAAAACTGCCCCTGAGGCAGAAACTAGGTACCTCAGCAGTTCATGGTGGGTATTCCTCATTCTCCACTGTGTGCTTTGTCACAACACAACATGCAGAAATCGTTTTAAAATTAAAACTGTGTTTCATTGCTGGCAGGATTTGACAAAATGACAAATATCCCATAATATCTGCAACACAGTAGGAACATTATTATAGGACAATATTTAATGTTTTTGTTTTTATGGGAAAGTTGGAGAGTGCATGGTAATAAAGTCTTACACACAAACATGAACACTTAAAGCAGATCTGTGGAGCCAATAAGGTCCCTCTGAGCCTCCACTATTAAATTCAGCTTGTGTTCATTCATTACCATTTCTATGTAAATAGATGATTTGGTCCTAAAATTGTAGACAGTCAGTAAATTTTCCATGGCTCAAGATTGGATTCTTTCAATAATTTCAATGGTTGACATCACTAAAGCAACATGAAAGGGGACGCTGGCTGTAATAAAATCATCACCCAATTTAGCGTTAACATAATAGCTCTACAAAGTATTTTTATCATCTTACTGGTTTGTTTTTTCCAGATTCAAGTTCACTGTTTCTTTTATTTGCACCGCCTTCATTAAAGAAGCTTGTAGCAGGTAATTGTAATTATTTATGTGCTAATGCTTCTTTAACTATCAAGATATTTTTACGAGCATCTCAGAGCTAAAGGGAGAGTTAATATAGGGCTTCAATATGAATGCTAATGTTGCTCCTTTTTAAGCGAGCTGTACAAGTTGGCTACAACTACTTCTACTGCGACTAAGGAGCTAACTATCTTAATGTTTCTTACATTTGGCTCGGACTGAAACTGACCAATAGGATGCATGAATGTTTGACTCCACTATGGATGCTAATTTGCTCCCAGTTAAGTGCGAGCTAAAAAACCTTCAAGATATACTGTATCTTTCATAAAAGACCAAATCATACCTAAAGCAAGAGTGATCATCACCGCCCAATATAAATTATGTTGTTTTTTGTTGAGTTAGCCGCTAACTAACCAGCTAGAGCTAAAGACTGAAACAGCTAGAGCTAATAGGAGAGTGAGTACTGGTCTAGAACAAAAAAAGCCAATGGCGTTTTATTCTTCTTTGTCCTGAACAACCTCTTGATACAGTTTTTTCTACAATCCTAGTAAACAGTACCCATAAACAGGACGACTGATGTATACCACATACTGTAACTGTACCCAGACATAGTACTTAAATGAATGTACTGAGTGACTTTCACCACCTTACTTTAAAAACATTACCTACCAAAGCAGCTGGTATTAGCATTTTAGTCGTATTTGCTGAGATCAACCCTGTCGGTTTTATTAAAATGTTGGCGTCGGCGCTCGTTGCATATTCTGTTTGACTCGCTGCCTTTGATGCCTGAGATCAAGCTTCACATCAATAGGAGAAGTCAACGCTCTGTACGCTGTGACCTGAGTGGGGAAAGTAATGGAGTTCCCCCTTAAAATCACATCTTTCATCTCTTACGGTGCTGCCTGAGTAGTGGCTGTGGTTTCACTGACCCACGAGGCTTTACACCCCAACATTTGCTTCTTAAAGGCTAATTATTTTTTGTGTGCTGTCGTATGTCTACATTTGAAGTCAACCAGCATAAGTGATGCTAATTAACTGGTCAGTTGGTAGAAGGCTCAGTGGTTGCTTTTCATGTGAAGGTTTGAGGGTAAAGTAGAGGTTGCTTACTTGACGCATTGGCCATGTGGAGTCATACTCTCCACTCTGTGATGTTTAAGACAATCTCTGCGCTCGTTTAGATGAAGTGTCATAACATTTACATAAGTATTAGCATAGCATAGCAGAAAGTATACAATTCCATGACAGTGTAGGGTAGGGGTGTGTGTGTGTGTGTGTGTTGTTACTCACACATACTTCAGCAGAACTGCCTGGACTTCCATCCCTGAGGAGTTCCATCTGCAGGTGGGAGCCAACGAATCTAAACACGCATAATAACAAACTCATTAACACTCGCACACACACATAACATCACGTGCCTTTATACAAAGTTTATTATGACATACAGCTTTGTGAGTTAATGTTAGCTGGACAAAAAGTATCGTTAATGTCGGAATACTGATATTAAAGAAATAGTTTCGACAAAAATTCCCATTGGCTTTCTTGCTGGCAGATAGATCAAAACAAAACAGCTAGCTAATCTCTTTCAAACGCTAACGACAACCACCAATCAGAGACTACATATTAACGTTTTATCCTTTTTTTAATCATGAGAAAACTGCAAAAACAACAACAGTGTATGCTAAGATAATTGATGCTTGCTATAGCCTCATATTTACTTTTTTTAAATAATCAGTTTCTTGGCAAAGAAGCAAATGTCCCCCAATATATATTTGCCACTCTTGAAGCGTGTTACTTTTTTGCTTTCGCAATCAGTTGACTGACATTAGCTTAAACTGTTACAATGATAGAATGACACGTTCCTTCTAGTCTGTTGCATAGCTGTACTGTATAAAGTGATCTGTAGCTAATAGTCACATGTCTTGTATATAAAAAAAATGATGCAGACATGTTCTTGTTTTTAAATGAAATTCACATGATGCTTCATTACAGAGGGACTATTGTTTCTCCAAATCTATAGCTTTGAAAATAGCCTAGTTGATAACATTTACAAGAAATCCAATAACATGACTGTACTGTCACTGGAAATGAAGACAGCTGCAGATTAACCAGGGAGTCAGATAGATGAGATCATGTTGATCCAAATGAGATGTTATCATTCAGTCTAAAGCGCATGCCTAATTTATTTACATATTTTTAAGTCTCGCATCAGCATTCACCCCGGGTCAGAAGAGGCTTCAGGATCCTAGCTACATCCCAAAGCCAGCATCTCTTTGTGTGTGTCAGTGTGTGTGCTCACATATCCAAGAAATATGGAAAAGAGCCAGCTAGGCAGATTCGACTTCATTTCAAATTCTGACATCACCTGAGCTTCAGCTTTGGTCTCTTTGCTAGGGGCCTTTATACTTTCAGAGCCGAATCATCTGCATTATGTATGGAAATGTGCTCTTTATAGCAGAGATAAAAGACATTAAAGAAACGGTTACAATTTGATCTTAAAATACTGCAAAGCAGCAAACAAAAGGAAATGAAAACACAGAAATTCAGAAACAGCATGTCTAATACTGGAATCTAAACAGGGTTGGCTGCAGCATACCGGCTCCATGAGAAGAATTTCAAGAGATCAATACTGAACTCGAATGTGAACCCACAGTGGAGCTGTGCAGATTAGAAGACCTCAATAAACTGGATCATGGCTGGTTGAAATAGAGAGAATTAAAGAAGTATCTGATGGTCAAACGATGATGTAAAAAACAACTTTTAAACCATTGAAGCTCTTATTTTGACTGATAATGCCACTAATGGGGATCAATAAAGTGTCATCGGGATGTTCGACCCTGACACATTTCTCCATTTGAATTATTTTTTTCATCTTATCTATCAAACCTTTAATGCGTCTTAGTCTAAGTGGTTTTAACACAAGCTTCTGAAGACAGAGAGGGTAATGTATATTATACTGATGATTATTCTCAGGATCAAACGCCATGAGCACACCCTTTTCCAGCCGGAGTAATAAGGCAATTCATTGGTTGCAATCAGTATTGGTTATCCATTTCCACTCCTGTGGTTTAAAATGTAGCATTGTAGGCCATCTGCACCCCATAAGTGTAGTGTTTCTATTAACAAGAAATCTCATCCTGCTTCCCTTAACAGTCAATGGTTTCACTCACAGAGCAGCTTTGTTGTGGAAATGTTAAAAAAAACAGGCTGTTTTGACAGCTTGCTGTTTATCGCTTCTCCTAGCCTACGGATGCATTTTCAGGCACTGATAATAACATTTTAGAAATTAAAAGCGTTGATGCTGATAGTCTACTTTGATTTTGCAGGTAATATTCAGACATCAGTATTCATTTCGGTCTGTTTCATAACCAGTAAAAAGCTCCATAACAGGAGCTTTACAATCTGCAGGTGGTTTAAAGGTAATGTGAAGAGTGAGATTAGTAGAGTTTAACTTCTCAAAGTTGATTGGATGGAGAGAACTTTTCTCAAGACAGGTTTTGAACAGCATTTCATGTGCGCCAAAACTGTAGATTTAAATGTTCCTACTTTCACTTTCATAAACAACTTCAATATATATCAAATGACTTGCACACAATCTGATTTCATGGCACATGCTTACAACAGAAGATGGATATATTGAGGACTTAATTCAACTAAAGTATAAATGAAAAAAAAGTCAGTTTAAGAAGAACTTGTTTCTTTGTGAGAGCAGCAGGTTCCAACATCCCTAAATGTTGGCTGAGAAGTGAACCAAAGATTCAGCACAACTTCACAACTGCCTGTAAACATTGAAAAAATGTACATGCGTGACTGTAAGAAAAGAAGAGAAATTCTCTAAATTCTTGACTACCTCGTGACTTTAAGACAACACAGCAGAAGTAAAGATTGGTGCTTATCAGTAGATTTGTGTGTGCTCTGTGGTTCGTTTGTGGGATAAAGCAGTGAGTGATTCTAGTGAGTGATTCCAGGCCTGACAGCAGCAGCTGTTTGTGGGGTTAAAGAAACGGAGAGGGGTGGTGGTTGAAGGTGGGGTTGATGGTAGCGGGGGGAGGAGGGGATGGGTTTGAAGGTTACCTGAGCGTGGAGCGAGGAGGGGTAGGTGAAAGCGGGTGGGAGGGCCGGCGACAGCTCCGCCGGGTACAGTGGGTATGACGCCCACACATCTGGGCTGCTGGGATATAGAGCAGGCACTGTGAGTTCATCTGTGGAAAGAAGAAGAGGAGGAGTGGAGTGAGGAAGGTGGCCAGTGGATGGGCGGGTGGCTAGAGAGACAGGGTGGAGGGGGTGGTGGTGGTGTACGCGGTGGTCGAGGTGAGCTATACGTGGTTATTTGTGACCTGAAGTTGCTTCCTCTCATTTAACGTCTTTTAAAACAACTGACTGTTTTCCAAAAACCCCTAACCCCAAACAACTGTCCAATCATGGCTTAGCAACTGTAACTAGGCATGGCAGGCCTGTCGAGCCTTGGATTTCTGTACATGTCAAAGTGGTATGCATTTGGCTGTAGCAATAATACTTGGCAGATTAATATCAGGTTTGAAGAAATGCCAAATCCACATCCAAAAGACACACAGAAAAAATGTAAGAAATGGATTAAACACGTGTTTCTCTGCTCTTATATGAGCAACAATCTTCACGCCTGTCGACAAACTTAACTGAGTCTTACTTCTAATACAGAGTCTCATAAAATTAAGTCAATGTATACGTTTGTGGGAATACAATCCCTTTAAAGAAGCTACTGTTAAGTATCAACTGAATGGTTTTACCCTTGTACAATATTTAGAAGTCCATTAAAAGCATGACTCTGCATTTCAAAAAACTCATCAAACTAAGAGAGTTGTCTAACGTAAATAGAAGCCTGTATTCAAATCTTCATATTTTAAGAGGTAAAACTGTCCTGATCGTTGTTTTAAACTGCATCAGAAGGTTAGCATGTATAGCAACACTCACTACAGGAGCAGGTCTTAGCAAACAGTCAGTGGTACTCCTCCAAAATCAGTAAGGCTGACTTAATTCAGGATCAGTTGAGAGGAAACCACCTCAGATATGATGATTTGCTCACTGAGTCGAGCATAAAGTGAAAAAAAGATCATGGTGCATGAGTGAAGGAATAGGTGACAGTGCAGAGTTGTAATTGAGGATTAGAATTGTATTTTTGTCAAATAAAAACATCAGCTTAACAAAGAACCGTCAGAAAGCAGCAATTTCCATGCGCCCTCTGCGTCTCCTGGTAAGCGTTTATCATGGCGTAATCAGAAAAAAATGGCTGATTTAAACATCTCTTATCAGGAAATGATGGCAATTTCTCTCCTGCTGATTACGTCATTGATTCATTAATCGTTTCCTTCCATTTTCTAGTAGGCTTTAGAGTACACGCCCTTTCTCCGAGATAAGAGCAGCTTGATCATTTGGGAAGAATGTATGACCACAGCTGGCCTATGTTCAACTATCAGAGGCTGATTCGTGCTGAACCTTTGGAATAATATTTGACTAAATAGGAAAAAGGACAGCAACTATTAGCAAATTCCGTAGATGCTTGGTACTTCAACTCAAGGGCCTTTAGTCTAAATGATTAGAGGAACATCTAACAGGGAACACATTCTGTTTATGAATCATTCATCTAGCAGGAGGCATCTACGATTCAGGGGTGGAACGCTTATTATTAAATGACAGATGTGCACATAATCTTATTTTAAAGCAACGTCCTGCATGACTGGTTGTTCACAGATTATCAAATGAAAATGGCCTTAACCTGTTTGCAAACGATGAAAACCATTGGCAGCCAAGTCATTCTCCATTTTCATGTACAGTCATTGCTGAAACACTCCTCTTCAGATGACAACAAATCCTGAAAGTAAGCAGCTGTCCAATCAACCCAAACAAGGAAATGGCCAATGGTCAAGGAAAGCAGCAGCACAGAGAAAAAGTACCACGAGCTCAGGCAGAGAAGTGGTCGGAGTACTCACATGGGTCTCTGCCAATGAACTGTGGCCCGGGGCTCTGCTGGGAGGGAGGGGGGTTTGGGGTGCCAACCAGCTTGTTTTTGGCCATCTTGGTGTTGGCCTTGGCAAACTCCAGCCGCAGGGTCTGAGGGATCTCTGGATCAAATCGGACGCCCTGGGACCAAACAGAGACATGTGTCAGCAAAAAGATAAACTGAGAAGTTTGCCCTTAGAGAAGAACAAAGTTATAAAATCGAATCTTTTACTTCAGTTTTATATCGCTGATCACCTTTCAGGAATGGTTGAAAAGGAATACTGTATATCAGATATGCAAGTTGTGAGATGAAATCAAATCATGGTGGTAAATATGTGTGTCATATACAGACAATGTTTCTGTAGACTCTGAATGTAAAAGAAAGATCAACATCATCATCAACAACATCGTCATTGAAAGCATAAATTGAACCTCTTCAGAGCTGAATAAATACATAAAAATAACAAAGTTTAAACTGCCAACTTCTTTAAAAAAAAGTCTCAACATAGAGTCAAATTAGAGCATTTGATCACGTAAGAATAATATGGGTTAATGTTGAGGGTATTAAATATTCCAGCCTAGTATCTTTAGTGTCCACATAAATGGTGGGTTGTTCTATAATATCCATGATAATAAATCAAAACGTTCACAGACAACCTCAAAATGCTTTGTTGTTGTCATTGATGAAAGTGTCTCAATATTGTTGTGTCTTTGGCTGTCACTCACTGAAGGCGGATCAGATTGTAAAGGTTGTTTTTTCTTTTCTGTTTTATAAATGCCTCGAGGACATTTAGCTCAATTTAGTTTTTTTTCACAGACTGAATTTTTTTTGTAGAATAACACACATTTTCTGTCTGCACAGAAAAAATAAATGCCATGTTTACATTGAGAAACCCTTAAGACTTTATTTTCTAAATGATCTTTAATGCCTAAACAGCTGACCTCAATTCAGCTACTTCATCTTTGTTGATTGTATCTTAAGAAAACAGAATTCATTCAGGTATTCATGATTTAATGGTTTCTTTAATTAAGTATGCTGATAACAATATTAAAGATTTAGTTAGTTAGTTTTTTATTCGTTTTTTATATTCTGTTTCGAGGTTAACACTTTAAAGAGAAATATTCTTCTCATCCCAAATAGACCTTTGAGTCATATTTGAAGTTATCAGGACAAGTTGTTTGGAACTCTCAGATAGATCGTTTTCTTGAAAGGTTACTCTCAGTCAACACCTCGGGAAGTGTCTTTGTTGTCTAAATTTGGTTACACCACATGATGTCTCTCAGTGACGCTAAACATTACAACGGTTCAAACTCTGCATCATCAACCTTTGCCCAAAGCAATCTGAAAAAGCCAGAGGAATGATTTTGTTCAGCACTGAAGTGGTATTTTTTAAATGAAATGAGGGCATCTGATAAGACTTCCTGTCTTATGCCTTGGTAACGAAGAAATTAAGACCACTGAGGACTTAGTTATCACACATGCTTTTATCCTTTCCATTATTGGGTGTTGGTTAGATGACCAGTGGGACGTGACTCGTATCTTTAAGAAGTCAGTTTGAGTGCTTGCTTTAACATTTATGAATGAAATTGGCAGCAAGAGGACATTTTGATTGTTTAGGAAGCTTGCTGTGACTTTCTCACGGTGGCGTGTTATTCTGCTTGGAGACTGGTGATGAAGGCCAACATAGAAAATCAGAAGCTATCCATTGATTCTTACACCATGTTGAACTCAGTAACTTCATATCATGACATGAAATCCATTATTTGGTGAGACATATTGCGATTCTAAACTCTTAAAGTGAGTGAAATTATGGCAAATCCTTGAATTGCCAAAACAAAAGGCCCTCTGACAAACATACCAGGTTTTTTTCTCACACAGTTTGATGTACTTCAAAAACCTCGACATGTTCACTAGTCCGAATCAGTTTTCTTTCTCAATTACTTTTGCCTGAGGAAAAACAAGGAATGTGACATAAACAAAGGCCTTCTTCATCCAAAAACAAAGCTGATATTTGTTTGCCTGCAATCGACGCAACAAGGCCAGGAAGAATTCCACCAGCAACTATAAGCGCACTCTAATTAACCTCATTCGATTGTCTGTAAGGAGAGGAGCAGGAAAACAACGAGGGTCAGATCAATGATGGAAAAAAAAAAAAAAAAAGCATCGAGGAGTAAAGTTCTCTGCAGCACAAAAAAAAGAGAGCGTGAAGCTGCGTTGATCGTCCCTGCAGGCTCAGGCGGAGCTGAGCTGAAACAAGCGAGAGATGGCTCTTCTCATGAAGGGGAGGGAATTAACTAGGATTGCCTTGGCTCAGTGCACTCACAGCTTCTGCCAGTGGAGGCTGCAGAGGTATAATAAGGTACATGGCTATAATGAGGCCTGAGCACATCTTAGTTTGAACCATGTTGAATCCCTGCCTTGAAATGTTGTGTTTTCCTTTAGCTTCTTAGCACTTCCTTTGCACTTCCTTGTGGATTGTTTTGGGGATAATTGTTGTAATGGTGTTGTTTAGCAAGAACGAAGAGCTCTTTTTGAAGTTATATCTGCTTGTAGTTTAGAAGAAATATCACAGAAGTACCATGGCGGGAAAGAAATCCCCTCCTTCCTTTGGTTTTTCTCCGTCTTTCCCATATTTCAATATGCAGATAGATGTTTGCAAAATCTCCATATGACCCCCGGGACGAAGCTTTCCCCGAAAAAACAAGAGCACTGCTCAATTCTCAGCCCCACTGTGTTATTCTACGGAAACAGTCTGACTATTGTTGGCTCATAATAAGATGATAATTTGTATCCTTTCTTCAACTCTCTGCTCTGCCTTTGATGCGCAACAATATGTCAACATCTGAAAGTTGACAGACTCTGCTATAAGTTGTCGCGCTCCCGCTTTAGGAGGATGATAAAACTGATCTTTTTCTGTGACAAAGAGATCAACAAAAAAAACTTTAAAAGCACTGGAAGAATTGTTGAATATGTAGACAGGTTAGAAAAACATTGGGAAACTTAAGCTGTGTGAGAGCGGCTCTGTCTTTACTTTGTTTTAAGTGAGCTGAATAAAACCCTGTGAGGATGTTTCATATTTGATTCTCCCTCATCAAGGCTTTCTACTGAGCTACATTCTGAAATAAGAGAGATTAAAATTAAACCCTGGATCAATATTTTCTATTTATATGTGAAGAAGGAGCTAATTTTCCTCCTGACCTTGCAGGATGCTCTGCAAAGCTTTAAAAAGAGGGCTTTATTCACTTAAACAGATACATTCAGACATGTATGTAGAGCAGCCCTTGTATGTTTGACTTTGCTTCCCTTCTCTGGCGTTTTGCATGCGATAGGAAATGCATGAATGTCTGGATTTTTGCGGATATCACATGCATTTGCACAGAAGGCAGACAGAGATGCATCACAAGATATACAAGTGCAGAGCCAGAGCACCAAGAGGGCATGACACTTACGTTCAAGGCATTCTTAGCAGCCTCCGCCTCTGATCGACTGTCAAAGCTGACAAACCCCACCGGCTGGGGAGACAAGGAGACAGAACAAAAGAAAAAAAGAAACATGGTTTAAGGCAGAAAACTGAGTCGGCGTTTCTGTCTGAGTGACATAGACATGTTGTTCTTTTTTTTTTTAATAATTCTTTTTTTCCCTATCATCCCCCCCCCCCCCTGTTTTTTGCTGTCTCTCTTTTTTTCCCCTGTTTATGAAACCGTGGTGACAGAGAAAGGGAGAGAGAGAGAGAGACAGAGAGAGAGATGAGGGCTGGACGCTTACAAGGAGCATTCATCATTCAGCTGTACTATGCCCAAATACGGGCAGTGCGAGAGAGAGAAAGTGCATGTGAGGGAGAGAGGGAGGGGGGGGACAGAAAAATGAGAAAAGATAGAGAGAGAGAGAGAGAGAGAGAAGAAAGACAAATGAAGGGGAAAGAGGGGTTGAAAACAAGAATGTAGAGGTGAAAGGTAAAAGTAGAAATGAAAGAAAGCGAGGCATCTTAAGAACTCTGTAAATAAGCCTGTCAACAGAAAAACAAAGCAATATATTCCTGTTCACATTTATTTCACAGCTGCTTGTTTTCTATTCTGATGACATCAGTCCAGAGCCGTGCACACGATTGTGAATGTGAGGAAAATAAAATGAAATTGAAAAAAAAAAAAAAAACACAGATGCAGGCAGGCTTGGTTTACAGATTTCTAGCCACCACAACATCTCCAAACAAAGAATATAACGTTAAATTTTTTGGGGAAAACACAGCGCATATGTGTGTGGATGTTGGGGGGGGGGGGGGGGGGCTGAGGAGATAATCTCCAAACATGTTGCTCCCATAGGGGCCCACTGCTGCTTGTGTGATCTGAAAAGCAGTGTAGGGTTATGGGAATTTTAAACGAGAAGGGAAAGAGGAGGAGAAAGTGGGGAGGGGGAGAAATGAAACCAAAAAATAAATAAAAAAGGGACTAAGTGAAGACGTCAGAAGGAGGATGTGTAACTGGAGTATAAATAGAAAAGGTCTGAGATCTGGCTCTTACTATATATGGAGATGGCTGTGTGTGCTCGGACAAGGAGGAAAAGTGAGATCGATTGATTTCTACATCGTAATTGTCATAAGTGGAGGAGAGGTGCTCAATACAAAGACAAGCAGGAGGAAATTTAAGGCAGGTTGCAAGACCTGAAATAAGCGTCTGTGACTTATGGCCCCGAAGAAGAAGGTGGCAATTATGAAAATAGGAGGCAACGTTGGAAGGTGAAAACAAAGGCCAAAGAGCACAAAGAGCTGCTGAGTGACTCATTTATTCATTTAACAAAGAGGAAAACCTGCCCAGACCACATCGTCCATATTATGAATGTTGGAGTCCTTTAATTTAGATGAATAATAATTTGGCCTCAGCCACAATAAAAACAGCTAAATTAAATCGATTAATCATTTTTATTCATATCAAATTAAAGAGGAACTGTTGTGATGATGCTGAGTATGAAGTGTTGCACCTGCAGCAACTTTCAGTATGGTGTTAAGGTGGCTAACATACACCTGTGAATGAATACATGACCTCAAAAGTTGTTTACTGGCTCATCTCTGGAGCCATGATACACATTTGTTTATTGTTTTCTATCACTATAAATTGAATGTTTGACTGATTGTAGGAAGTTTTGGTTACTTTCTAGGTAATTACAGACCTAACAATGCATTGACTAATCTTGAAAGGGACTGACAGATAAATAAGAAGAGAAAACTTGGTAATTGCAGGCCCAGACATTTTTTAAGTATTTAGCTGCTAATTGCCTTTTAAAGTTTATTTAAAGAATGCAACCACAATGAAATACAGGACGGGAAAGCCCCAATCTGAGCAATAGGATTTGACTTGATCTAAAGAAGTTTCACCACCAGAAGAAAAAAGCTTTCCTTTGTTCTTAGTTTTAGAGGTATTATACTCGGCATATTCAGTTTAAATCGCCCTAAACCCTTCTAATGAGCTTGTCATGTCTTTATGGGAAACAGTGTAATTCGTAATAAGAACACTGACATGAAGCTAAATTGCTTAAGTCTGGATGTGGACACCTGCCAGCTGAGCTCATTTTCAGTCCCGCACCCCTCAAGGCTAAACTCAAGCGTCAGTTTTGGTCTTGTCACAACGCTCGCTTTGACGCCTTAAAAAATCTTTTCCCCCGTCTCCCTTCCCATCCTCGCACATCCCACCAGTCTGCAACTGCAAGCACACTACCCGACTGCCAAAGGCAAGTTGGTGCAACTCTTTTTCCCTTCCCTCCCCCCAATGAAGTTTCTTTTTTCTAACCCAGCTACTTCCTGACAAAGTGTGCTAATCCTTCACAGTCAACAAGAAGAAAACCACAAGAGGGAAGAAGCAGAACAAAGGACGTAGGAGGAAATTAAAGGTGTAGATGAGCCAGAAATTGGGATATGTATACAGTAATAACATAATGAAAGACTGACTGATGCCTTCACTTTGCATAGGAAAACATCCCTTATTGTGCGGTGTAGCTTACCTGTTTCGAGGTGAGTTTTATCAAGGAGCCTTCATAGCCCTGAGGAAAAAAGATAGAGACAATGTCAGCACTCTTAACTTTGTGTATTGTTAATAAGCAAAGCTTAAACTTGATGGGAAGCTCAACATAGCAGCAGGTCAGACTTGAACCCAAGCCGCCCACTTGGAGGACTGTAGCGTCCACTAATGGGGTGCGACCTAACAGCTCAGCCCTCAGTGCCTCGACTATGTCTTCTTGTCAAGAATGGACAGAAGTATTATGTCCAATGAGTTATGAGCAGGTTACTTACAGAGTGGCTGGAGAGGAGGATCTGTAAAGATTTGTGGGCCCTTTCCTCACTTGTTATTTGGATATACATGACTGACTCTGTGTATCCTGTATTGGGTTGAGTCTCTATTTGTCCTTTCTGGCTAGAGTAGGATCTAATGTGGACTTTTTTTCTCTCCACATGTTGTTGTTATTGTTAAAAAAAAAAACCCCAAAAAACAGACACTTACATACACACTTTGGATATTTACTTCACTTGTTGAAATGACATCATAATAAGCAATAAGAACCAACACAGACACTGGCGGACTCATTTCTAATGCAGACTTTTAAGGTTAAATGTAAGTTATGATTCTCGTTTCAAAGCGCTCTTAAGACCATACTGACTGGTTGTTGTGTTTCACTTGATTAATTGAGATGTACTGCATCAATACTCATGCTATAAACAATCTACTTGGCGTATATGCAACAAGCTTTATTCAATAGAAATGGATGCATAGTGATTGTCTCGTTATTCACTTGAACAGTGCTGCTGCTGTCCCATTAAAGTGCATTATTCAAGGGCGACAGTCCAAAAGGCTCCCAGCATCTACCTACATGCATTCACCTGAGCTCAACTCTGGGACTCTTTGTGCCTGTGACAAAGTGAGGTTTCTGAGGTGAAGCAAATAGCTTTGTTTTTGTATCGCAGGCAGCGAGCCATTTTTCCATGACACACACACACACACACACACACACACACACACACACACACACACACACACACACACACACACACAAAAGCTTCCCGTGGATCAAGATGTGATTGAAACTCGGCTTAAGGCGCACAGACACTTGAACCTCGCGGGAGAGTTTCCATTGCCATTTATTTCATCACCATTAATGGAGGTCCCATTGACTGGTGGAAAGAAAAAAGCTGCTAAGAATAGATGCAGCCCATCCATTTAAAACATACAAACATACCTTAAATGGTCTGAACAGGAGATAGAGCTCCCGCGGCTTAATATCCAGTGGAAGCCCGCTGACAAATAGTGTTCGGACCTGAGGAAGACAGGAGAGATCATTTATTTTTCATTAACCTCCAGCCATTGTTAATAGGTGATTTGCATACATGACAGTAACAGATGAGGTAATAAGGACACTGAAAATAAGTTAATAGTTCTCAAGGTAGGCTGTATACTAACGGCAGACTTTTCAAACCCTGATAGGGATGTGTTTTAGCTCACCAAACACACCCACACACACTATCACACACACCTTTCTACAGTGAGCATATTGTGTTCTCCTGTGTAATCTACAGCCTGCTGTGTTTTATGGCAATCCTCCCTCACAGCTCTGGCCTCTGTTTTACATTTGAACTCTTCAACTTGCAACTTGAGCTGGCGTTGCTGGGGAATCACAATGTATATGTTAGCAAAAGGGAGACTAAGAGAGAATGTCCTTGTTGTGGTCCTCAATGAGTCTGAGAAGGTGGGAAACCACAGCATGAGTAACATGAGAGAGAATACAAATGTGTTTTCAGGCAGAGATGTTGTTATCATGTGAGTGTTGATAGACAGCAAAATGAATGGTTTACTGCATTAAAATTCAGGGTTGTCACAAGAAAAAAAAATCAGCTGCAAGCTGTACTGTTTGAGGGAGGATCTCAATATTAAACTGTTGTGAAAACGAACCTTTTTTCACTGCATATTTTTCCTCTAACCTCACTCTCAACTTTAAGAAATGAAAGAGTTAGATTACATCGGTGAGTAAGAGCTACAAAGGGCTGATAGTGAGGTGTGCGGGGGTTGAACTCATGCTGAGTCAAAGGATCAAATTAAAATAATGCTTTGGAACTACAAGAAGGTACAAGAAATTGTCTGTGCACTTAAAGAGTTCAACAGAAATATTTATTGAAGCCTGACATTCAAATATCAGCCAAAACTTAGCTTCCTTTGCTGTAGCTTATGTAGAAGTGTGTGAGTGTCTCGCATTGTCAGAAGCACCAGCGTGTATGTAAAGGTTACAGGTTAGCATATCAACTAGCACGTCGACACTGGGATTTTAGAAATACATGTGTTGTGTTTCATGTTAAGATTGGACACCCTCCCAAAGAGAAACATGAAAAAATACATGAAAATTGAAGAATTAAAAATACTTATTCTTTATGAAGCCGGAACCATAAGCAAGTTAGCATAGCAAAGCAAGAGAAGAAAATAGAAAACTGCTAGCCAAACTGTTATCCATCTCCTTACTAAACATCTCTTTAAATCGGGTTTGTTTAATCCATACAAAATTGAAAGTGTGAAACTAAGATGCTACAATGCTACAGGGCTCTAATGCAACATGTGTAGGCTTCGGGCTAAGCTAGTGTTATTTTTTTCTACACATATCATTTCACCCCTTCAACAACACAATCAGCATCCTGGCCACCATGTCTCAAAAGGCTTGTTTGAACAGCAGCAGCTCCTTCAAAAAAACGAGACACATCAGCTCCGGCGGCAACCTTTAGTCAACACAGACATCGCAGCGCTACACGAAACAGGTGCTGAGATGTCGTACCACAGCTTATGAATGCAGATATGGTTACATTTGGGAGGGGAGGAAACAGGAAAGTTGTATTTCTTACATGTAATAAAAGAATATGTGTATGAGATAAATATAATACATGGGTTATTTTTTTTTTAAAAGCAAGCATGCTCACTCTACATGGATTGATGTGGATGAAATTTCTCTCATACACTTGTTCTGGTGAAATTCATAACTATTGTTCAGTGGCTCACCCTGAGTCAAATCCGACTTAATGTCAACCTCTGCACCAAGATAACCAAGGTAACATAACAGGCACTAATCACTCCTCATACCTGTAATTATCTCATGATTGAAGTTGACTTGGTACAAGAAAATAATTGCTTTAGTGCACAAGAGAGATACAAAAAAAAGAAAACTCAAACTGTAAATCAGAGCGACTCCAGCTTACACACCCACATCAATACTGTGATAGTGGATTTTGAAAGAATAATTGAATTATTCAATATTCTGATTCAATTTAAGGCGGAATTTTGAATAAAATTGTAGGTATGCATTACACAGGGTAGATTTAAAGCTCTTTGATTCATTAAGTAGTAGATTTACAACTCAGGAGACAAAGGAACTGCTGAACTAACACTACACATCATTCCCACATGTAACCTGATACGCACCACTGATGCCAAAGGCAGAGCAACACACAAACAAAGGAGCTTAGCAACTGGGCGAGTGATGGCTGGAGAGTGCCAAACCGGCCATCCAGCCAACAAATCTCACCTCAGCGCCTTTCTCACCTTCGCCTCTTATCTTATCTTATCTGAGCCGAGCTGAACCCCGCGGCGCCCGTCACTGGGCTCTGTCTCTGGCTGTTCTGTTTAAGCAAACTCTTTTAGAGGGTCTCCTTATATGGAGTTACTCGGAACAAAGAGTCAGAACAGGATGGCATCAATCGGACACCAGCATTGGCATTCACGGACAGCTGCTGAGGCTGATTAAACTAATAGAGTGGTAGTTAAACATGCAGCAGAAATCAAAGCAGAAGCTAAACCAATAGCTGTTAAAAGAATTTTAAAAAAAAACAAGCCTAATGTGTTTGAATTTTAGGAGAATCTTTTTAATTTTTGCTAAATTTGTAAACATCTTGTTGAGGCAGCACTTGACCAAGTAAAGATGCCGAAAATAACTAAGTAAGAAGGTAAAATGCTGGATATTGTTTGAAGGACAGGGTTATTTTTCATTCTGAAAGTTCCTCTGAAATCAAAAATAGTGTAGAAGTTTTACCATCAACAGCGGTGCACATCTTAACAACATGTTATCAGATACCCTTATCTCTGATTTAACTCCTGTCTGCTTACAGACACTCGAGACCTAAATGTGCAAACACACAACAATGGGTCCTCTACACACTCAGAACAATGGGACATTCTTGGCTGTGTAGAACCTCATTCCTGAGACTTCCTGACGTCAGCTGTTGTGATATATGATCTGTTCGTCGTGTGTCCGGTGTGGAGCTGACTGCACACGCTGGATGAGGGATGACTCACAGGCAAATGTGTCATCAGCTCTCTCCTGCAGACATCTGCTGTTGATTACGGTATCAGCCTTTATTTATGCTGCCCCAGGACTAACTGGAAATAAGACATGAGAGTTGTAAACGATGGGTAGAGTGAAGAATCAAAGTTTCACGATGTAGTAAACTAAACTGAAGGTCATGCCTCAGGTTGAGCGGGTTTGTGTATTCATAAAAAAGTAGAGATAAACCCTCTGCCATTGTTTTATTAGGTTATAAAAGCACTGTTTTGTTGGTTCTTCTGTGAGTCACATACCTACATTTCCATAGTGCTGAGTAGCTTGGTATGGGCTTTTGAATCATTGACCATTTATGGCATGCTCGCACACCAACAAGCAGTCAGGCTTCGATCAAAAACAGCAGTCCCTACCTACCACAAGCCAGCTGAGCACCTCACAGCCGGCTACCAGCGCAGTTCCCTGGCAACGCCTTAGTGAAGCACAGCAGTGCTTGGAGCCCCAGGCCAAAAACATCAGATCCTATTAAGGCCACTTCTGCAGCAAGTCTCAGGGGATCAATGCACCTCTAATCAGAGATCCTTGACTCCACAAGCACCGGATGAGGTCATCACCTTATTGATACTACATACTACATTTCACCTGGAAGGTTTGTGGGTGCCCCCCCCGAGAGGTGGTGGTGGTGTTGATTGTGAGTATGTGGGGGGGGGGGGGGGATAGGACTGTCACAACAGGGGAAAAGGACTGCTAAAAACTAATTACTTTTACAATGATTTCATCTTCATCTAACAGTTTATGATGGTTTAAAAAATGTTGCAAAATTTGATTATATTATGTAATCCTTTTTTCCTTGATTTCCCAAGGACAAAAGTAAGGTCTTTAAATTGCTTTTTTGTAAAACTAACAGTAAAAAACAAACTACAAAAAACAAAACTAAGGGCAGGAAATCCTTTATTTTAGGAAATTGGAACCCGACTTTATACTTTTACATTTTTTGGTTTAAAAATTTGTCATTAAAATAGTTGGCAATTAATTTCATAATGATTATTACCGTAATTATTTCAGCTCTATGTCTAACACCTGAATGGTGGTCATTATTGCTTAAAAACGATGGATCAATTCAACAGTTCATTAACGCCACGTTCACACGAGAACAATCCTCTGACTTTCTAATGAAAGAACCAGCGCATGCACACATCCTCGTCCTTCTACAGAGCAGTGAGCTGGGGTTGTTAGTCCTGGTAACCGTAAACTACAAAGAGAGTAAATATCAGGGAAATTAAGACTGAAAGTCATGCAAGTTAACATTTCTATTGTAGTCCACCTACTCATGCTTGGTTATTGACTGAAACCTTAATGCGCATGTGTGCAAAGAGTCTACTCGGGTATGGCCCGAAGTGCGCATGTTCTTAAGAGCTCCCATTTTCAGAAGGACATTGTTTTAACAGTTTACTCGCGGACAAAGACTCACTGTTCTCTAAAGTTTGCACTCTGGGATCTGTTTTCAAAACCTTCCTTTTTCAGGCACCCAAAATGCCGTTGTCATGTAGACGAACCACCGAAACACAACAAAATGTTGCAGCTTTTGGATGACATTTTTGATTAAATTGTTTTTTTGGGGAGGTTTTTGTGAAAATCCGCTGCTGACTAACTTTGTCAATAAATTGATCATATAATCCAAGTATGGTTTCTGTCCTATGGGGGTGTCTTTTTTAAATATTTTGCTTTAACAAAGGTCAGGTGGTCGAGATGTTCAACTATTCAGACGCTTATAGAGACTGTAAACAGGCAGACAAGTTATATAAACCACTTATTTCTGTGCAAAACCCAAAAGTGAGCAGAACAACTGAAAGACAGCAACAATCCCTCCTCGATAATACCCGTCAAGACACAGCGGATGGCAATGAGTCTGGTTCTGCCTGAGGTCCTGTTAAAATAACTTTTTTTCTTGCCATTGTTGCAAAGTGCTTGCTCATTGCTGAATATTTTGGGGTTTCTGTAAATAA